ATAACTTATATAATAAAAAAAAATATGGTTGATGATTCGTAGAAATTTAAAAGAGAAAATTTATAGAAACTTAAAATATATAAGCAAATAGAATAGAGTTGAAAAAAATAAATAATAATAATAATAATTAATTAATTAATTAAAAACTTTATCTCTTTATAATTTCACAATATAAGAATAGAAAATAAAAGAGAGAAGTATGGATGGATAAATTTAAAAAATTAAAAATTTGAGTAAAATTAAACAAAATTTATAAAGTTATTTTATTATTTTTTAATTATATTAATTACTTAATAAAAAATTATTTTTAAAAATTATTAAAATATATATAATATATAAAAAATTCAAAAACTTTGGGGGGCCATGGCCTACCATCATAAAGGAACGCTCCGCCCCTGTGAAGAGCTGAAGGAAGAACAAAAGGCAGAAGATTTGGTATTTCGAAATTTGGGTTTCCAATTTGAGGGTTTAGCCTTTTAAGTTTCAGACAGGGAAATGGAAAAAAAAAACTACAAAGCATTGAAGGAAGAATCGAAGGTAGCAGTGCAATGGCGGCTCACGGTTCTTGGAGGAAGAATCGAAGAAGGAAAGGGGGTCTGGACTCTAGACTCTAGTGTCGACCGGGAAGAATAGAAGAATAGAAGGGAATATATATTTTAGGAGGGATGGTTAAATAATTATGATTAAAAATAATTTATATAATAATTAAAATTATTTTATTTAAGTTTGGTTGTTGAAATATCAAATTTTAATTGAATCAAACAAATTGAAATAACTGAACTTAAATAATAAAATATGTTTTTAATCGAATTAACCAAATTCAATTTAATTTGATCAATTTATTCAAATCGAATTGATTTCAAATTAATCAGAATGTTGTATCTTTCAATTTTTTTCATGCAAATTTAAATCGTGCATAAAAATTTAAACCCAATTTAAATAGTCAGTCGCCAAAAATATTAATTTAACTTTAACTCATTATAATAAATTGGTGTAAGGGTATATATATTGGATTCGATTAAAAAAAGGTGATACGTTAATTACAAATTTGTTAAAGTAATATCACCTGAAATATGTGCATTAGTTAGCGGAAAATTTTGTGATGCAGCAGTCCAATTATTTTTCATTGGGAAGAGCAAAATGAAAAAGACTTTGTACTCCATGAAAGGCAACTAGGCAATGAATTACTTAAGAGAAGCTATAGTACTGGTACACTTCCATAAATCGATCAAACAAATGCATTTAGATTCATAAAACTGCTTTAAAAGTCTTCCCTTCATGGTTAATGGTAATTTATGAGTAATAACAAACAATAAAATTATTTAATTTATAAAAGGTGTTGTGAAGACCAAATTAGACACGTAGTGTGTGCATCTTATGAAAATTTCACTAGATAGAAGCGTTTGACAGAGAAAGATGCCATCTTGCTTTCTCATTAATGTGAATTTATAACACAAGAGCACAAGCTTGAGTCTCTTAGATGAAAGGATAAGTTTACAAGATAGGATACGCCATTAATTTACAAGATGAATACAAACTGCAATTACAGATGGGATACATGGCTTGATCAATTCTAGCATTCATGTTCTATGTGTCAATCTTTATTACTTACAGTTTCCGCTCTTCTTCTTGTTTTGCTGATTGAGTCAGCTCTTGATCTTGATTAAGTTTAATTTGCAATGATGATGCTCTTATCTTTAATACATTATGCAGGCAAAAAAATTAAAAAAAAAAAACTCCCCTTTTTTGTGATGGTATATGGAATATTATTTTCAATGTATACATAAAGTTTATTATTGTTCTCATAAAATAAAATAAAACTTTAATTATTACTATGTTTAAATAATATTAACTTAAAAATGTCTGTAGCCGAACAGTACTAGCACTATTTTTACTTCTCCTTTCATTTGAATATAAATAGAAATCAGTGTTGGAACATTTCTTGAATGCATTTAGAATGGGCAGGGCAGTTCTTGTGGGGAAGGATTGAATAATTGTCATTATTTATTATCTCTCGAAAGGAATCATGACTCACGAGAAATGATAAACGATAAAACAAAAACAACTGAACTAAAAATAATAATAAAAAAGAAAGAGATTAATTACATCCTTGTCGGTTTGTGCTGCAAATTTAAGTTTCCTTTTCACATTCATGTGTAAATTAAGATATGTAGAAAAAACTAAAATTATTTTTAAAAATTATAAATTATTCAAATAAATTTTCTTTTACACTTGTTGACAATTCTCCAAAATTTTACTAAACAGTTGGCTTTATGTAATAATAATGCAGATAATATAAATAGTATTATAATTGACTTGATAAAAAAAATCAACTATTAATAATATATTTTTACATATATTTTATTTTTAAATAATTCAAACAAAAAACTTCATTAATCACAAAAAACATTGATACAATGAGATATATTCTCACTGGACATAAACAACTTAACTCTTAACTCTTACCAACTCTATGTCATATAAAAAGAACCTCGTTAAAAAACCTTTTTATGATAAAATCCAATGAAATAAAACTTATGAAAAAGAAAAGAAAAATACCCTTTGACACATGTCTATCACATTAATCAAAGGATCTTGTAACCCTTCCGTCGCAACCAAGTTATTAGCTACAGCTCACGTAAATCTTGCAAAACAATATTTGTTATGTTGTTTGGCAGATCTGCGACATTTGTCCAAAAGACTTCACCACTCATCAATGTCTTTGCATGTTGGGCCAGGGAATGAGCTGCTTTGCTGGCCCATCTGACACAATGAGTAATTACTCGACAAGAAATCCTTTCTAACAGCAGCAACCTGTCTTCTACGATTTTTCACCCAATGAACCACCTCTTTGCAACCAATCTCTGCTTCACGGATAAAGATTCCTTGTCGATGACAGACCAATAGGGCTGAAGCCTTTAGCTCAGCTTCCACTACAGTTGTGTCATGAGTTGTGAGCTTTGATCCTGCTAAAATCACATTCCCGTTGTGATTTCGCACGATGAATCCGACCCCTAATTTACATTCTCCACCTGAATGAAACAAAGCCGCATCAGTATTTAACTTAACAGTAGTCGGCCTGCACCATACCTCACTTGTAATCTCATGTCCGACATCTTGTGAATTTTCATGCGTGCAAGAAGCCTTGCGAAACTGATGAATTATGTCCAAACCAATCTCCACCACTACCACTGGACTAGATCTACTGTGCTTAAACACCACCGCATTTCGTGTCTTCCATATGACCCATAATAAACAAATGAATTCCTCGTCTCATCTAAATTCAATAGCTTAAAAACTTCCTATAATCAATCTGTAATTAAATCATGGAAGTTGAAGATATCCTGGAATCTCCATTTAGTAGCCAACCAAACCAACCTTGAGAATTGACCATTACACAAACAATGAAAAGCTGTCTCAATCTCAATCTCGCATAATGGGCACACGAGTTTGACACCTACCCCTCTCTTAATCAATTCATGTCTCCTAGGAAGGATGCTATGAATTACTTTCCACATAAACAGCATTGTCTTCCTTGGCAGTTGGCACTACACAATGCCACAATTTTTTCCACAAACCAATTGCCTTGAACCGAAGAGTTGGCACCAGTTACATTATTCAAGATAGAGCCCAATAGTTTATAATCAGATTTTACCGTATAACTACCATTCTTAGTATCAAACCACGCTTGACAATCAGGAAGTTGCCGAATGCTAAATGGGATAGACAAAATCAACGTACTTTCATGCGGAGGAAAGCAGTTACGTACCTTATCTTCATCCCATCTCATTAATTGTAGATCAATGAATTCACTGACAGTCATGAACTCACCTACTAAAACATCCCAAACCAAGACTTATCTTGGAGTCTCATATGGTATCCAGTTATCTCTTTTCACTGAAATATTTCTACCACTGCCTACCCTCCATGTTAGACTCCTTTTTATCAAATCTTGGCTTCCTCTTAAGCTCCGACACAAATAACCTGTTTTAGACACAATAGAGACATCACAAAAGCTCACATTCGAGAAATACCTAGCTTTTAGCAAATTATAAGCTAAAGTAGGTACTTGGGTTTGTAGCCTCCATCCTTGTTTAGCTAGCATAGCTAAATTAAATTTCTTTGTATTTCTAAAACCCATGCCTCCTAATGTTTTGACGTGCACGTAAATTTCCAACTCTCCATATAAATTTTATAATCCTTAACATTACCTCTCCACCAGTATCTGACATTAACAGAGTTAATTTCAACACATAAAGTATCTAGTAATTTAAAACAACTCATGATGTGGTAAAATTATTAAAATTTATATGTACAGTTAAATTAAAGATATGTAATCTTTATTAGTGAAACATTTTTGCAATATTAAACAAAAATTTTTAAATATTATTAATAGTTAAAACCGATCAAATCAATAGAGATATGTTTTTTTTTTATTTTAAAAGATAATTTGATCAATTTTAATTATTTTTTATATAAATTCAGTTAATTAAATTTTAAAAATTTTAAAATTGTACCAATCAATTTGATTAGATGCTCACCCCTAGTTTGATACTTGAGTAATTTTATATGTGATATAACTTAGTAGAATTTATTTAACTATAGCAATTGAGTGTATGCTCTTTCGTGATAATTAATCGGTCACTCAATTTAATATTGTTCGTATTTTCACTTGTTAAACGTGTATATAAATAATGGGTTCAGTGATCGTTTCCTCTGATTTGTAAAGCCGCATGGCAATGACTTGATTTATAAGGCGTAATCTCACACATGCATATATAGTTTAATTCTCAAAACTTATATTAGATATTTTTTTTCCAATTACATATTTGTTGTTTAGTTTTTATTTTTTTTTCCATCTTTTCATTTGAGCTTGAAAAAAGTGAAAAAGAAAAAAAAGAAAATCATTTCCCTTTGGAAATGTTCAGAAACGGATGCCAAGAAGCAAGAAGCAAGGAGCTAACGCCACGTTAACTTCATTTGTTTAGAACGTGTACAACCTGAAAACCACCCCCTAACTACAAAGCCTAGAGCAAATGCGAATGCCACTTCCTTTTTACATTTTTTTTCCCCAAATTTAAGCATGAACAAATCTAGAATAAGAAGCTTTACTTTGTTTGTTCTTTGGTTCATCGTTCTCTCGCATCAGATTCTATCGGTAGTTTGTGAAAGAGCGCAGTATGATGAAGAGAAACCATCTCTCTTGCAGGTAGTATCAAGCACCATTTCAATGTTGAAGAAATCTCATAAAAGTTCTTGGGAAAAGATCAAAACCATCATCCATGACTTTCAGTTGCAGTTTACCCCTCCGAATTTAGAGTAAGATTGCGTTAAAGTATTCTCTGTGTCATACATTTGAATGTTGAATGCTTGTACCTTCATCATTAACACACGTTTTGTTCCTTGTCATGTGTCAGTTTTAGAGGGACGGGCACAGCAACGGCTAGCGGTTCTGATAGTGTAGGAGAGAATATGAAAGAAGCAGTTAAGAAAAGCATTGGAACAAGTAAAGTAACAATTGAAGAAACTGCCAAATCTGCTGCAGAAATTGCTGATGGAGCTGTCCACAAGACTAAAGAGAAGGTGAAGGAGATTGTCTCTGGTCAAGAAGAATCTCACGATGAGCTTTGAACTAAATCCAGAAACTATGTTAGTATGAGCAATTTAGTGTGTTGCTTGTAAGTCAACTTTTGTTATATGAACTTGCTAATTATTATGCACTCTTTCTCAATCTCTGATGTACTTAATTTTTATTGGCTTACGTTAGCAGGAATTGTTTCCAAATCCACTTTCAATTGTTCTGTAAATTTTGGATTCTGAACTATTACAATGCCTGTGAAAATGTAGACCCAAGTCACTTTTTATTACTCAGATCTCGGTTACGAAGAATCACGCAAAACAATCTCCGAGCAAAAGCTCTACGTGAAATGGTGTCATACCTACCGAGTAGAACAAATTAAAAGGAAAACCAAAGCATTAGTTTTCCTCGTTTAACTCTGTCAGATCTCCAGAACTGCAAGAAACTTGCATGGACAAACCAATGAAATAAGCATAGTTTTCTTTTCCACTTGCAGACAAGTCTGCTGGTAAGAGTCATTGACAACATTATGCATGAAGAGCCAGCTGGGCAATGCTGTGTACCATTAAGAAACTCATCCGTTTGCACATGCTAAAGCAATCAGGGAGCAATGAGGTAACATCGATTAAAACGGAGCAACAGATTTGATTGATCTAAATTTGTTCAATGAAAAAACAACTCAGAAGACTTCTTAGTTCAAAGTTTAAAAGCCCAAGGAAACATCACAAATCTATGTTTCATATTGTGAGTTTCAAAGCCTATTGCTAAAATTTTTTGGCATCCCATCTCCTTACGTATGATTGAAGACGTGTGGTTGAAAGATCATAAAGTCACTCGATTCAACACAAGAATAAAAGCAGAGAGAGAGAGAGACCATCACAGTATTAAGCATGTCGCAAGGAACAAAAGTTGCAAGGACTACTACAATTCAGGACATGGCAAATCAACCATCCCAGCACAGAAGAACAGAAAAAAGCAGAACAATGTACAACACAAGGTCAAGCAACCTTCAATCACCAGTTGCCAAACAAGGATCCATTCTGACAATCAGCTTATAATTGACAGCTAAAAGTATCACCTTCAAACCTAAAGGAAATTATACTAAGAAGAATGGGAAGCAGAGAGTCTAAGACATTCACTCTGACACCTTCGAAGGCAAATGTCATTCCAGTTGGGTACTTGATGTTGGTTGACACAAACAGTACGAGCACAAGCATCAGAGCAAGCATCAAGCTCAGACACACCACATACAGTTACACAAGTGTCGGGAATTGGATCTTTTGAAAACGCCCCAACCTTCTTCAACATTCTCTTTGATGTGCAGACTCTCTCACAGACAAAAATATCATCCGATGATTTCTCCCTTCCCCTGGCACTCTTAATTCTTTGTTCTTCAGCACGCCTCTTCTTCATTCTAAAAGCTTGCCCTGCAATAACTGCTGGGATGGCAGCCCCAAGAAGGGACCACCAAACTTCCACCATCACAAATTGCAGTCGGCAAGCTCTTTCTTGTTCCCTTACTTCCTTATCTGCACTCTTCAATGAAAGGACAAAAAACAGCAGGTGAAGTACTTTTATATATTTCTTCACTGAACAGATAGCAGTTCATTTAAAATTTTTAGTGGCAAAGGCGATCAGTTCTATATCTTACAACAAAAGCTGAAAAGGTAAAAAAAAAACACTTGAAAGGTACATAAACAACAAAATATTTACAATCTGCAGCTAGAAGGCTGGATTTTACGCAGCCTACCATATAAAATTCCAGTAGGTCTAGCATGCAATACAATAAAACATTATGAGTTCAACTTAGCATTATTATAAGCAGCACTTCAGAATCCCCAACAAGAGCCACTATCATAATCTCATCTGTGAACATCAGAGAGATGCAATCAAGAAGAGCATCTTCATAATGCTGCCGCTATCAGGCTTAAAAACCTACATATTTAACCTCCCAATAACAAACATTTTCCACAGATTGATTATCCGAACAACAAATTAAAGCTAACAGTCAAATACCCAAAGATTTTAAACCAAAATGAAAGAATTACCATAACCAACAGCAATCTCAGAACCCCAATTTTTATGATTTTTTTTACATAAAAACACAAATGGCTAATTCCAATATCACTTTAGTGCAAACCACACTCCTATTTCCGCGAACAAAAAACCACAGCTTTCTTAAACCATCACATATTTCAATTCCCAAAATCAATCTTTAGTTCTTCAAAAACCAAAAAAAAAAAAACAAATCAAAGTAAAAATGCCAAAAAGCTTTGAATTTTAACAACTATTCTTTCTTTTCTTTTAATAACAATAGTTTAGCTAATTACCCATTTCATAAAAAGAACAAAAGCATCGCAAAATGCAATAATATAAACCCATTATGGAACGATGTAATTATGATAAGAAAAATTAAAATAAACAGAAATGAAAAGCCCCAAAATAAATTAAAGTTCATAATAGTGAGATAAATAGAAAAAAAAATGTATCCAGATCACAAGTTACAGATCAAATTACAAAGAAGATAAGCCGAATGCTGCAGCTAATATCTCAGGTTTAATTTGTACAAACAAAAAGATAAAGAATACGAAAAAAGAGCAAAAAAAAAAAGCTTAGGGTTTTAGAGAAATGAAAGAAAGAAAGGGCTGACCTTTGGGCAGGGTTTTAGGGAAATTCAGCAAAGCAAGCAGCGCCGATATGCGTTCGCTTTCGCAAAACGTGAGTTAATAATTTTGGACTCTTAAGGAAAAATTAAAAGAGGGCGTATTTGTTTTTAGTGTTTAAGATATGAGAGAAACAAATTTTTAAAAATAATTTTTAATTAAAAGAAATTTTTTTATTAACTAAAAATTATATTATTATAAACTTGATTATCACATTTTAAGTTTTTAACCTATTTCAATTATTGAATTTCTAATATATCCTCTTTTATATTAAAATATTTCCTCTTTTCTATAAAGTTAATATACAAATACAAATAAAATTTATAATTATCAAGTATTATATCGTATACAAAAAATCTATAAACGTAATCTAACAAACAAATGAACCAATAAATAAATTAACAAGTAAATTTAAATATAATATAAAATTAAATTAAATTCACATACGATGAACCTTAAATTTAAATTTTCAAAATTTTAGAATTTTCTCCTTTATGACTAAGGCAAGATCTCAATGGCAACGGAGAACCAAAGGATGGAAAAGCACAAAGTCAAGAGATCAATGGCCACTAAATTTTAATGTTGTAGTTTCTTTTTCTTTTCTTTTTTTTTTTTCTTACTGCCCGCAGGAAATATATAAAATTGGACTATAATTATTCTGTGAATTACTTCTCGGTGCAAATAAAAAGAGGGTTTCCCAGCCAAAACAGCTTAAAGATTATAAATTTTGGTTCTCTCCTCTCCCCCCTTATTTTTTATTTTATTTTATTTTGCCTTCAATTAATCGGAATTTCACATTAATTTAATAACCCCCACGTATGTGCTAATCTCAACACTATTTATACGACGCACCAAAGAACCCTATTCTCGCCCATCCTCCTCTTCTTTACAGCTATAAGTTTCAGGTACGTTAAACCCCTCGTGATTCTTTCTTTTTATAAATTTTGTGTACAATTTTCTACCCTATCGTCAAATTAGTAATTTATCATTGAGTTACAAGTATTAACGTACGTTAAGCCTTGTTTTCTATATTCTTTAATGAATTGCAAGTGCGATTGATGAAAGGACTCAACCATGTACAAGTTACGGAGTTTAAGCTAAAACCAGTCCTGGAAAAACCTCAGCTAGGCACATGTAATTAAGCATCTCGATATGAGCATATGACCGTAATGATCGCATTATGATTTTCGTATAAACTGAGTAACCTTATTCAAGATTTGTGACATACAAAATCCATGAACAGATATATGAGTTGAGGCAAAAATTAACAAGAATGGGCAAGCAAGCTAAGATTAGCGGAACCAAGCCAACGACGGACAATGTTTCAACGTGGTCACCACGTATGGACGGGATACCCGAGCCATCCAGAGCTGAGCAGGCGACGATGGACGAACGCTCTACCTCCTACGAGTCTAGACGGCTTAAGGCTTTCCAAGAAATATGGCCTGGTAGCACCTATTCTTCACCATCATCCAACGACGTAGTTGAGCCATCAAAGAGGAATGGGGAGGCGACGAGGAGTCGATGAATGCTCAACTCCACAATTCCTTCATAAAGATGGTAAGAGACTGCTAGATTTTGAAATATACATAAATATCAATGAAATACGTTTAGTATATTATAGTATTAATAATCCAGAAATTAAAAGAGTAGGAACTAGAAAGCGACATTCATTTTATATGATGGTTCATGCTGCAATAGGAAGGGGTTATACATGAATGAACAGTTGAACACCATGTTTCTCTTTTTTCCTTTCTTTTTATTTTTTATTTTTGCATTAATTTTGAGTTGGACAATCATGCTAAGCAACCCCAATTAACCAAATACATCATTTTTTTTAATTTAAAAAAGAATTAATAAAGAAAAAATGTATTAATTATATGAAAAAATCTCTCCATTCAACTCTCAAATAATCAATTTTCATTCGATCATTAACAATACAAATATTATAAGTATATACAAGTACGGAAAAACTTAAAACTAAAGCAAAGAAAACTTGGCTGATAATATTTACATTTAACTTGGTTATGCTCTAAGTTGTCCAATATCAAAATCTTATCTCCAAGAAAATGAGTTATACCAGTTTATATAGATATGCCTTGATAATGATTTGTTAGCGTGATTATGAACACAATTTCCTAATCCTGCGTGTTCTAGGGTTGTTTATGTACTGAGTTGGGTTGTACTGCGAAAAAAATGTTCGAGTATCCAACAGTTTGATTGTTTTTTGGTAGAGGGACTTCGATTCCTACCATTCCCATGAATGGTCGTCAGGGCCAGGGCGGTCATCACTCATCAAAAAGGCAGAGGTGTGCAATGCTACCAGATGTTGGTTGGTTGCCAATGGAGAATAGTCCCTATTCTCATCATTGTTTTCTGCCAGCTATTTGTTAATCCATCAGTCATTCTTCCCAAATTAAATATCCTAAATTGTTATTCAAAGCTTAATACATGAACTGACACAATGGATAAAATTCACATTTGATGAAATAGGATGAAAAAGTATGAAGGATTTATGAAAGATAAATTGTTCTTTTTACTTTTTTCCCCCATCTGGTTGACAATTATGATACACTAATTTTCCTTATTGATCATTGGAAGTTATTATTTTCCGTTACCCGAATAGAAATACAATCAGGGGCGAAAGTGTTAAGAAAAGTGGGTTTGATTGAAAAGAATTGCCTATATTTTGGGGATAAACAATCAATAATTATACATCCAGTAAAACTGTTAAACCCAGAAACCCTTTACAACTAGAGGGCCTTCGGATATAAAAGAATTGGCATGCCAGTTTTACAAGCAAAACGAAAAAGTGGTGAAAAAAAAAAAGAATGGAGCAAAGAATCATACAGCCAACACAACATTTTCCCTCCCGAGCAATGGTGACTGTAGCAAACTGGAAACCATATTACATCAGACATTAATATCTGCGCGCTTTGATCTGGTGGTGCTGCTGATTTCCTGGGAGCCAGTAAAGGAGAATCTTGGGAGGTGGTAATTCTCAGTCACTGAAACTGGCTGCTGCGGGTAAAGAGTGGGAGGTGGAGTCAGATTTCGCTGAGCTGGTAAGGGAGGAAGCATGTTGTACTTGTAAGGGTCGCCACTCAAACTGCAATCAACGGAAGAATTAATTAGGAAGCGTCCTTTCAAATAGGGCACCACAAACAAGGGGAGAGAGAAGAACAATGGCATTCCTCACATAAAGTTTCCTAAGGTGACTCCTTTGCCTGACTTACCTCGTACGCTTGTACAACTGATCATCATCACTGGAATTTTCATCTAAACGTCGAGAAGGTCTCTGAACAGGAGATATGGACCATGTATTTTGGGCTGGTAAGTCATCTGAAAAATACCTTCTCCTGATCAACTGAACCAAGTACAACATGAGTTTAACAACAGCTAAACCCACTAAAATTTGAGAGGCTAAATACCATACAAAACAAGCAAAGAGGACAATAATACCATGCGAAAAAACTTCATTACACCTTCCTTGTCATATCTTGCATCTTTGGCAGCCTGTAAACATCAAGCAAAATGTTAGACATCTACACTTATCAAAGCCAAAATTAACTTTAATAGACATTTTATCCATAGAAAAATTTTCCTTTGCAACCACCCTCTGCAACTCAAACTTGCACTGAACATAACTTCCCTCAGAAGAACCAAATCCATTTACTCAAAACTCAATAACTCTGACCTCAATTCACCGTTCCCAACCTCAGATAAACACAGATTTCTTAAACAATCAGTAATAACATTTATTTGCTCTGTGTGCATGCCAAAAACCAAGAAGTTTGCCCTTTTCCTGCCACTGCAAGGATGCCGATTCAGAACCAAAACTAACCCCATCCACAGCACCAACAACCAGCCACCAGAAACATCCAGAGATCTTACATAATCAACCAAATATCACAGTATGTGTATGCAAATTGGAGACCATTTGGGTTGAGATTTGATATTAGTGTTGACAAAGGTTTGAAACTGTTTGTTTTAGAATGGAAGGGGGGAGAGAGAGAGTAGTAAGAGAAGCACAGGGGAGAAAAAAGACAAAAAGGAAGAGAAGAAAAAGAATGGGGGAAAGGAAGAGAGATCTGCTCACCAGCAACAGAAACTGGCATCTGTCAAGGAAAAAAATATATAGATTGATTTGAGATCTTTGTGGAAGGCATGGAAAGGGCTGACTTAATGACGTGAGGGAGGTAATGAGCCAGAGAAGGTTCTGACATACAAGTGAGGGTTCCTAACTTTGCTTTGTTTTTGTTTTGTGTGTCTACCAAAACGAGGCTCAGAATTTACTAATTTTGAATGCAAATATCCTTATTAATAACAAAGCAGAAAAAGTAACGAAGGCATCCATAATGACATCTAAAATAGTCCCGCACATCGAGTTCAAACAAAAGGAAAATTAACAATAGAATGGCAAACATTTCATGTAAAGACTTTGAGAGTATCTATAAGTTGTCATGTACACATAGGTAGGCATCTAAGTAAAAGAATCGCGAAGTACAAAGCAAAGCATTGAACAAACTAAAGAAGCAAATCTGGAAATAACAACACCAGTAACAATAGGTAATGGACAACTACCACAGTAAAATTTCTAAATCAAGAGGCTTTATCAGTCAACTAAACCATAAATTCAAGGCACATGTGTAAATATGTGAGGAAAACATTGAAATATTCACAAATTAAAGTGCAAGAAAATTGTGGACAACTGATAAAACTTTCACACTTCATCCTTCTTCACTCAGCAATTTGAGACATAAATTAATGTCAAAGCAAAACAATCCTATTAGACTTGAATTTGTCAAAATATGAACTGAAATGTACCATTTCCCTTATTTTAAACCAAAATGTTGCCTACAGGATTCTAATGCAATTGCAACTACAATTCTACAATGAAATAGATCAATTACAATGAAACACCCAAGTTTCCCCCAAAAATTTCAGCAAGGATATAATGAGGAAAGAATAAAAGAAAATTATTCTTACTCTAACTGACATATAAGCAAGTCAATGCATAAGTTAAAATCCTTACTGCAATAAGGCCTCCACTACCAGGAAAACTCTCAGTCAGTGGAAGCTCCTCACTAGAAGGAAGCAAACCCTGCTTCTCAACCCACTGACGAGCTACATCAACAAGATTGCCACTGCTACCCTTTGTACCCTCTTTAGCAGCAACATCAGCTTTGTTACCGATAACAATATATGGCACAGGGAGTCCCCCAGGACCACCAGAGCCTAGAGGAGCTGAAAATGTCCCAGTTGCTGCAATCTCAGCTGCCCACTTCTGCAAGCTTGATTTTGTTCTCCTTTGGGAAAGATCATGAACAAAAATGACACCTGCACCAGATTTCAAAGCAGAATCTTGAGTGAAAATCACAGAGCTAGCAGAAACTACAAAGGCTATTATGGGAAAATAAGCAGGAAAAACCTTCCACATGTTGATGATTAGGAGCATATCATTAGGATGTTAATGATGGCATGCTGATAATATTTAAGATCAATAAGTTAAAAATGTAATATGAACAATCAGTTTATATTGCAAAGATCTACAAGGAATAAATTCATTCATTTTGGTATTTCGCAAATTTGCATCCCAGTTACAAACTTGCAGGGATACTATAGAGAAGAAACAACAATCTTATAAACCATCTTTTACATCTACTGCCCTGCAGAACCAAGGGTAGCCTACAAATTATACACATTTAGGCTAATAACAAATATGTGGGAAGTTTGCAGCTGCCACTATCTCTGTTTGATTAAATAACCGCAAATCCTATATGGAAAAGCTGATAATAGAACAAGTAATGACAGTAACCATCACTTCATATTTATGCATGTAAATGCAACAGGGCACTGGTTGGAATAATTTCAACCAAGAAATAGCCATCGTTCCGGTAATCATGAAATCAAAAACTCAATTTCTAATAGAACTAAATTGCGCATGCCCACAGCAAGACATCCAATACTTATCAAAAGCACACGAAAGATTGCGGATTACTAGACTTACAAATTAACCATCAGAAAATTTGCCTACCAACAATTACCAAGAACTTAAAAGACATTTGCTCAAGCAAAGAGAATTAGTACTCACCATTAATTTGTGAATAAAAAAGAGACCGACAATCTTTATATCGCTCATGTCCAGACACATCCCAGAGTTCAATGAAGAAATCTCTTTCAGCATCCCCTTTAATGCTACTTGAAGAGCTACCAGGACTACCATAAGTGGTATGCTGTGTAGAGATAGTTGTGACTTCTTGGTGTAAAAACATCAACAACAACTTTATTAAAAGCAACAAAGGAGGACCAAGTCTTACCTTCACACCAACAGTACATCCAATTGTTTGAGGAGGGCGACCAGTAGAAGAACCTTTCACAATTAGATGAACAAGAGAAGTTTTCCCAACACCTGCCAAACGACTATGATTTGAAGCTAAAGTTTGGCATTTAATATATTTGATGTTGCAAAATGAATTTTTTTTGGAGCAGGATATTAATTTTTAAGCATGAGAAGTAAACAAATCAGAACAGCAGATTAAGAGCCTGCTTATTGCTCAATGATGGCGCCACACAGTGTCAGAAACAGTCAGGCAGTCAAAAACAAATCAATAACATCCAAAGGAAAAAGCATAGGAACATGAAACCAATGACTCCTTTGTAAAGATTTCTTCTCTTGATATAGAGAGTAATAAAACAGTCATCGACGAATTACTTAAGTGTCCTCACCCAGGCCATGCATATTTTCCCTTAAAAGTAAATTAAAGGGTACCGTTAGTTCAAGTGGCACGGATGGGAGGAGATATGGGTAGAGATCTTAGATTCAAACCGTAATTCTCCCTCTTGTACCAAAAAAAAAAGGTGTACTGAGTTAGCTCTTAAGATTAATGGTTTATGTAATAAACCAACTTAAAACTCTACCTTCTTCCCATTTCTTTCAAATCTTAATACATCATCTGCAATCTTTCTCCAACAGCTCCAAATTTATTCCTTGCACATAAATATCACACACTAGATATCCTCAACCAAAAAATTAGCTAATCAGGCAATTATTTCACACTATGCTTCATCCCTCATTTCTAGCATTGATATTAGGAACGACCATTAATCAATTTCTCAATTTTTTGATGCAAAAACAAAATCATTTGTTACTTTAAGTCCTTCTATCCTTACATTTTGGCAGGTAAACCAACGTTCTTCTTTGTCCATGAGAGTTACACTTCAGGAATCTTAAACTGAAAATTCATAAATTTAACCAATCCAAAATCAGCAACAATTAAACAATAATTTTGTAGACCAATATATCTATCAAGTAAGTTCCTTCTGGTATAGTTACAACTATAATCCAACTTTATAGCATATAATCCCATTAAACACCCAAAACAGTTATTCAATACAAAAGAAGCATACAGCAAAAAGCAAACAAAATTACAAAGGCAAACATTATGGATGAATAAAAAAATTCTATACTTTTTTTTAAGAAAAAGAGTAAAATCCAATACCTGAATCACCAACAACAAGAACTCTAACCTGCCCACAAGGAGGTCCTCCGTTAAGCTCTTTGTTCTCCCTCTCACGTTCCCTCCAAAACATTTTTGTTTCTCTTTTCTTCTCTCAAACCAAAAAGGAAAAAATCTACTCCAAAAAATAGCCCAACTCACTTCTACAAGCAATAGGAAGACTAATCAAGTTCCGTCAAACAGGTACAATTTCTCGAAATGGGTATCCAAAATTTCCATCCAAAATCCTTCTCAAACCAAAATCCACCCAAGATCTGGACCCAAATCCATGACCTCAAAACTCATCAGTTCTGAATGAAATTGGATCTAACAAGAAGAGTACTCCAAATGGGTATCTTTGAAATGGAAATACAAGAAGTGGGTATCTATCTAAATTTCTGTTTAGAGCTTCCAAATCTCAATCGAATAAACTTTGGTTGAAACTATATTTTTTTAAACAAAAATCAATGCTTTAAGTGGGGTTTATAGGATAGTTAGAAAAAAGGGGAAATCAATCAGATAAAAAAAATGGTTAAAGCATTCAAAATTAGTTTTCTGATGGATTGAATATGGTTCTTCTTTCATGTGCTGATACGGATGTGATTAAACAGAGAAACTTGAAGTTGGATGGAATTGTCGGTCACGCGCTAAGATGCGCGTCAAGTTCATAGGATGTGTCAATCTCAGCAGGGTTAATTGCATGAATGGCACTTCCAGAATAAATGGTTCTTCAGTTTGGTACCTCAATTTAAAAAAGAAAAAAATCAATCAGTACCTAGCTCTTAAGCAATTTGCGATTATGCCCACTGCTGACAAGTTAATTTTCATTTGGTTAACTAAATGAATTATTTAGAAAAAAAGAAAATAGTTATTATGTGAGAATAAATAAGATATGAATAATTATTATGTAATTTGATTTATGAAAAAAAAATTATTTTAATGATATTATGTTAATTTTTATAGAAAAACTTTGAACAATAAAAATGTGATAAAAATAAAAGGTAAAAAAACATAGCTTAATATTATAATTTATGATTTCCAATGTCAAATATTTATTTTTTTCATAATTTATTAAACTTATTAATAAATTTTTTAATTAAAACTTCATTATGATTATTTATTTTTACTTTATTTTATTTTATTTCTTTTTTATTTCAATATTTATTTTTAAAATATAAAAAATTTATAGTTTACTTAAAAATATTAATAATTTATAAATAAAACTTTAATATGGTTATTTTATTTTTATTCTTTATTTTTATATTTTAAATATTAAAATATTAATAATTACGATTAAAACTTTAATTTGATATTTTAATTTGAAATATCATTTTTTATAATTTATAATTAAAATTTCAAAACTTTTTATTTTAATTTCAACGTAGAATTTTTTTCTCTATTCTTTCTTCTCGACAATTTGTCAGTACATTTACTAATATAATAATGTGTCTAACTGACATTTTTAATATTAGATCTAATTATGAAGTGTCAAATTTGACACTTTTACGATCAGATCTGATTCTAGTAGTACCGATCGACAGACAGTCATTGCCCTTTATCATCCTCCACCATATTGGAGGAAAATGAATAGAGAAAGAAAAAAATAAAGATAATTTATTTTATATATTATTAATTTTAAAAATTGATTAAGAGTATTTTTATTTAATTATTTTTTATACTATTTCAATCAAAGAGAATGAATCATTTTGAGGAGGAAAGTCAGTAATGATTATTTTAACCTCTTTTACAATGATCATTTGGCTATGTAAACAATGTCATAAAGAGAAATTAAGAAAATAATTAAATGGAGATCAGTTAAAATGTAAGGCCCTTGATGCTAACACGTGTTTACTTAAACCACAAGTTAAATCTAAACACGTCCATTATGAGTAAATGGTTAAAGTAAGACATCACTCTAAATATGTGCATTTTTCCATAAAATTTTAATTCCCTAAAACATTATTGGCCTTTATCTCTGAACAAACTTTTTGTTTTCTATTTTCAGAAACAAATATAAGGATCTACTATGATAACGAGTTAAAGGAAAAACCCAAGTTTCAACTCATTCATCAAGCAAAGTAATTTATGATAAATAATATTTTATCAAGACTAATTGCTTCTACTAACCTGAATTTATTTATATGAAACTTCATTAATAACAAGAGCAATGAGTAATTTTTCTTAAAACAAAAATTATATTCCTTTATGTATTAATATACCAATAAAAGTAAGTTCTGATGGGAAACATGGAAACTACAATAACGACAACAGCAAACCACTGAAAGTCAATCCACTAATTTGGCCCTGTCCCATTTCAATTGGGTTTTAAAGTGGGCTTGGAGGAGGTCAAGCCTCTCTCGTACGGGCTGAATTTCAGCTGTTCAGCCCCAAAAGGCATAGTGGAAAAATTAGCCTAATCTCTCTCAAAGAGCATATTTCATATGTATAATACACATATAATCATGTAAAATATATGTTATAAGTACATGGCCATGTTAAAGAAACATGACAAGAAGAAGAAGAAGCTTTCAAGTTTTTTCTTTCATGTAGAAGAAGAAGAAGGAGGAGAAGGTCGCAGGTTCCAAGCATTGGGAGCCAAGATGGGCATTTGATTATAGTAAACCACGTATGGGCTCTCATGGTTGTGGATACCATCATAGGTAGTTATCACATAACTTTTGTCATCTCTGTCCCTTTCTACCGTCTTCTTCACACTGCATCCTCCAGTTGAACATTTAAAATAGTTCCTGCATAAATATTAATAATTCATATCTGGTCAATTATGATCAACCAATAAAGCAATTGGGGAAAATACACAATTAAAACATATTCATAGCTATATTTAGAAGTTTATTCTTTTTTAGTGCATATTATCATTTTTTCCTATTTAATAAATCATATCTCTCTTATTTCATGATTTGAGTTCAATATTTCCAAGTTATAATCTAAAATTATAACTGCTAAGGGCAAGGTATAGAACTTGACATGAAGCCAAAGGAGCAAATAAAAGCACATGCCTCCATGCTTGTCATGAACAATATATATATATATAT